ATGGCCAGATTGCACTAAACAGTTTGTAATCCTTATCACATTTAATCCCCACAACCACCCTACAGGTTATGTATTTTTTACTCCCATTTTTCCTTTTAGAGATAAGGAAACTGGGGCTCTGAGAAGCAACTTGGACAAGGTCACATAGCTGGTAAGTAATGAAGCTGGCTATCACATCTGGAACTGCTGGTTCCAAAGCTCATGCTGATTTTCCTACACCAGACCTCCTCCTCCACAGGCAGATACAAAAGAAATGACAACTTCTATAGGGTGGTCTGAAGGGAGGGCAAGGGCATCCCAGGAACAGCCAACAGTGTGAGCAATGGCCTGGAGGTGGGAAAGTGTCAGTCATGCTCGGGAAAGGCAGATCCCCTCATATAACCGAGTGTAGGACATATCAGAGGATGAAGTGGAGGTATTTTGGAAGAGAAGGTTGGTGGATGAGTCTTCGTTTTCCCTGCAATATGCTAGGGACATATGGTAAAGAGTATTTGTTATCTACCTCAAAAAGACATGAAATATTGTAAGTAAAATATTTTTAAAGTCTTGGAAATTATTATTTTACAGCAATAATCTTGACCCTGAACTCTCTAATCCAGACCATGTTGAGTGCAAAAATAGAATGATGAAATGATTCTGTCTACATTTCCTTTTCCTTCAGCCTTCTTTGTTTTTATCCTCCGGAAAGATACTACCTGGAGACTGAAACCATAAAATTGGAGAGTAGAGAAACTAAATACCAATAATTTACTTGGATAAATGTCAAATTTTCCATCACGCCAACCAACATCGAAGCCTTTTCAGATGAGAATTAATATGCTATCCTTTTGATTTTAATATTATATAACTGGGCTGATTTAAATATTTTAAGTAAGTTTAAAAATATCTTAAGTAGGCTTAAAAATTGGGTGCGTAAACGAGCTATTATAAGCTAAAGTGACATAATGTAAGTAGTATGTATCAGGGACAATAAGTGTGACAGCACCCAGGTAAGAGAAGAAAACAGAGCAGGGGGCATGCATAGCAAAAATGTTCCTTAAATTATCAGTAAATACCTAGAAATACCACATGCTACAGAGAACATATCCCACCTGTGGTCCCAGTCCCAACAGGAGTTTACATTGTAGGCTCTTCTTGGTTCCCACAGCCTCCTATCACTGGGCCAAGTAGGGGGGTAGAAAAGGCCAGGATTTTAGCACTAGGCAAGTCACTCTAGTTAGCAGACTTACAAACACCAGGACAGGAAATCACTGTCTCACAGAACAGGCTGATGTCTAAGGTACACTTGCCTCCAATAGGGCACCTGGCTCATACCAAGTCCCTGATAATGCTGATGATGGTGCTGATGCTGGCTAATAACCCAGATCCCAAGCACCTGAGTAACTCAGCTGTCACAGTGGAAGACTGGAGGTCTTTAACTAACTGGGACAACTGAAATCAGGGCTACTAGAATTAAGGGTTATTACCTTATTTATGATTTCCTGAACATCATGTAAAGGGAGAGATTTCAAAAGGATGCTATAATCAGTGATCATAGCACATAAAGAGATGGTGCTTTTGAGAACCAAGAAGTCTTTCCACAAGGAAGAAAGCAACTGCAATCACTGTATTTACTTTCAATACATATTTTAAACATTAAATTATTATTTTTTCCCCTAGAGTCAGGATGGCGAGGCAGTCCTTGCCTTCTCTCCATCCCTTCTCTTGTCACCTCCATCCCCTCCTCAATCCCTCTTCTTCCCACTCACTCTTCTTATTGTTCTTTTCTTTCCCCCTCTCATTTTCCTTCCACCCTGCTCCTCCAGCTCCAGCTCTCTCTCCCTCATCTCTTCCGCCTCTGTCTTTTCCCCTTTCCTCCCCTCCCTCTTCCCCTCTTCCTCCCCATCTCCTTCCTTCACAGTTTTTCCTTCTTCTTGCTTCCTCCTTTACTCTCTCCTCCTCTCTTCTCCACCTCTCCTCACCTTCTTTGTCCCCCTCCCCCATTTCACTAGCTCTCCTTTTTCTCTCTAAAGTAATAAGCCCATCCTGGTTTATCTTGGGAAGGAGCCCTGGTCGTGCAGTGGTTAAGCGCTCAGCTGCTAACCAAAAGGTGGGCTGTTTGAACCCACCAGCCACTCTGCCGCTGCGGGAGAAAGATGTCAGTCTGCTTCTGTAAGATTACAGCCTTGGAAACCCCAAGGGGCAGTTCTGCTCTGTCCAATAGAGTCGCTATGAATCAGAATCAACTCCACAGTGAGTTTGGTTTATCTTGAGAAGTCCCTAGGTGGTGCAAATGAGTAACACACTTAGCTGCTAACCCAAAGGTTAGAGGTTCGAGTCCACCCAGAGATGCCTCAGAAGGAAGACTTGGCAGTGTACTTCTGAAAAATCAACCATTAAAAATCCTCTGGAACACAGTTCTACTCTGATACACATAGGGTCTCCATGAGTCGGAATCAACTCGACATCAGCTGGTTTCAACTGGTTTTGGGGTTTATCTTGAGCAATACATTGTCAGGCTGAACTTTGTCTAAGGGTCCAGGCCAGGAACACAAGTATATGCAAAGCTGACTAGGACATGACTTTTGATTTCTGAGTCATGAAAAATCAATTTAAGCCACTGTAATTGCAGAAATACACCTTGAACGATTGGGACTGATAACATCACAGGTGAAAACATGGTGTGGGAAGAAAGGGGACTGTGAGAAATGCCTAGATTCAAGACCATCCCTGGCAGTTAGTCCTGGAAATGCTCTGCTTCCCCAAGACTGCTCTCCCTCACTGCAAGCACTGTGGAATCATTCACCAAGAGAACGTTCGCCCAGTCACCTGGCAGCATGCTTAATTTTGGTGTTTACCATAAGCCTGTCAAAAAACATAAGTGAACAGGCAATTATATTTGGCACCAGCTAATTTTGATGACAATCTTAAAAACCCGTTCTGAAGTTTTTTACAGAAGCAGTATAAACCAAATTTTTTTTTTCCCTCCACCACCAGTTTTAAATTTTTATTTTATCACAAGCGCTCTAGTGTCAAGCTACTAGGAAAAAAGAATCTTCATGGATTTTGTGTAAGGAAAACACAGCCCTAGATTCTGACACAGAGACCTATTCTTCCTGGGGAGGGGAAGAAAGGGGTGACACGGACTAGTCACAACAATATTTTTTCACCCTCCTTAGTCAGAGAAAGAGGTGCCTAGAAACGAGCGCACATGTGAAATGGGGAATAAAGAAAAGCAGCCTTTGCTGCAACCACAAATTTCAACTCCTGCTTTGTCACTTTCTGGCTGTGGGACTGTAGGCCAGCCTCAGTTTTTCCATCTGTAAAACGGAGATAATACCACTTACATTTGAGAGTTGTGAGACTAACAAAGGTATCACTTATGAAACATGTAGCAATAGTAATCCTCAAATAACACTGGCCCTCCCAGCCCCCACTGAAACTGTGTTTTTAACTAAGAAGGATTGATCCTCTTGATCATTTCCAACTTCATATTTGATATTCAGTTAAATAGCAATAAACCATTTACCCAAAAACTTGTCATCAATCCATTAGACTTATTGGGTGAAAGCCATTCTTTGTATTAGTAGGTGCATTTTCACTTTTTTCCCCAGAAAATTCCCATATTCTTTCAATTTGACCCATTTTAACTCGTATTTTAACCCATAATACTTTCTTAATGGACAGACAGGCCTCATGTTAATTTCACAAAGTAAACTAGAGCTGTAAATTAGTAACTATAATTATTAAGCTAATATTTATGGAGCACTTACTATTTACCAAGTACCGGATTAAGTACTTAATATGTATTTACATGCATTTTTATCTCATTTAATCCTAAAAATCCTAGCAGAGGTATTCTAATTATCTCCGTTTTATGGATGAGGAACATAAAGCTAAGAGACTGTGAACAGTGAATAAATGGCAGAGCTCAGTCACAACCCAGAACAGAGGACAGGGTGTCTGAGCTTAACCCTGTTCATACTGCCTTCTCTTTTCAGCAAAGGGTTTACACAAGTCTTTATTTCATCAGAAAGATTACAAATATTTAAATGATGGAATTTTAGAAATCTCCCCAGGACCCAAATTCCCACGATAGTACTAGAATTTTGAAAGCCACCTCTTCTCATTGTTGTATTTCAGAGAAGAATCTAAAAATATATCACTATATTTCAAAAGGAAGGTGGAGATTTAATCAACTGCTATATCAACTTTCTACCTATCTTCCTTTTGGAGCCCTGGTGGCACAATGGTTAAGAGTTCAGCTGCTAACCAAAAGGTCAGCAGTTCAAATCCACCAGCTGCTCCTTGGAAACCCTAAGGGGCAGTTCTACTCTGCCCTATGGGGTCACTATGAGTGGAAACTCACTCGAGGGCAAGGGTTTTGGTTTTTTTGGTTTAGTCTTCCTTTAGTTAATTCTGTGTTTTTTGTTTTTTTCTCCTGCCTCCCATTTGCCTTAAACAACAGTTATTTTATAATCATCAAAAAATTCTGAGTAGTAGGCCTCCACCAAACTGAGTCCAGTACAACTAGATGGTGCCCGGCTACCACTGACTGCTCTGACAGGGATCACAATAGAGGGTCCGGGACGGGGCTGGAAAAAAATGTAGAGTAGTAGTCCCAGAGTAAGAGCCTGGGTGCACAAACAGCTGCTTAACGTAAAGGCCGGCTTTTGAACCCACCCAGAGGGCTCTGCAAAAGAAAGGCCTGGTGAACTGCTTCCGTAAAGACTACAGCCAAGAAAGCCCTATGTGGCACCCCTACTCTGTAACACCTGGAGTTACCATAAGCTGGGGCGACTAGAGAACGGCTAACAACAACAGCCGCATAGCCGTCAGTACACAGAATTTTGCCGGTGAGTACTACACGGAAAGGGAAAACAATTCAAAGCTTCCGACTTGATTCACCGAAACTCCTCAAAAACATAAAATAAAATAAAAACTCCACTGACACTGTACAAGACCAGAGCTGCCTCTCGCTTCCAGAGGGCTTGCTGGACCCACCGCGCTCACCTACCCGCCTCTCCACCCCATTCCCAGTTTTTGAAGCGAGTATTTCCAGTTCAGAGACTCTTCAGAGGGTACGGGCTCGCAGCTCCTTCGATGGTTGATGACAACTGGTTTATAGAAACGAGGGAAGAAGAGATCTAAGAAGTCCCCGCAACAAACCCCGCGAGAAAAGAACTGCACACACCCAGGTGGGCGCCCAGTGGTCGACAGGGGGAGGCTGCTCGCCATCGCAGGTGGATGGTCTCTCGCCAGCTCAGCTTCGCTAAAACGTCCAGCCCGGGGCCAAGACGACCCACACGGGCTGCGAGTGACTCTGAGACCCGGCGATCCGGGGCTCCAGTCCCCACGACTCGTTCGCTCGGAGGACGCGTGGGGAGCCAAGACGCACCTGTGCCCTAAGGGACGGCCTCGGTCCCAAAGCCAATCGGAGGTGATGCCTGTCCCCAGGCCCAGCGTTCCCGCGGGGTCCGGGGGGACGGGCTCGGGCCCTTCCCCCGGCAAAGTGGGCAGACCTGGGTCGCCGCCCAGCCCCTAACCCCTCAGCCAGGGCCGGTGCCGGGGCCTCCCCGGGCTCCGTGCCCCACGCGCGTTAAGTGCCGCGCCCCCACATGGAGCCGCCTCCACCTGTCAGTCGCCCGCAACCTCACCTCCCGCCGCAGCCTCCTCTTCCGCCGCCATCGCAAGAGCTACTCGGCCGGCTCCGCAGCCCCGGGGCTGGCAGCATGGAGGAGCCCTGGGGTCGCCCCGCCCCGTCCAGGCCCGGGCGGCGGCCGCGGAACTGGGACTCGGGCACCCGCGGGTGTGAGCCCGGTGCCAAAGCGGCCGCCACCGCAGCCTCTGGGCGCGCAGCCAGCGCCGACTCGCCACCCGGGCTGCCGTGGCTACTGAGCATGCGGGCTAGGCTTGCCAGCTCGCCGGCCCGCCGAGTCTGGGCGCCGCGGAGCTCCGGGGCCGCAGAAAGGGGCCGGGGCGCAGGGCGGAGTCACGGCGGGCACGGCCCCGATGGCCCCTCGGGCGAGAGGCTAAGCGCAGAAAGACCCGCTGGGTAGCACCTTGAGCCTTTCTAGAGACCAGCTTAGCGAAGGTTGGATTCGTAGACTCTTGGAGGAAAGTAAAGGACTTAATGAAGATCATTGAGTGGTGAGGGCAGCGGGGTGCTGGGAAAGGGTCTTCTCTGGCTGCTAGTGATGCGGGCTTCTTTTTTCTGTTTAAGGAAGGGCTTAGCTGCAGAGATAGGGTGCTGGCTCCTAGAACGGTTGGGTAAATCCAGAGGCAACTCCGTCGGGGTTCACTGACAGCCCTACATCCGATTACGATGTTTCTACAATATGCTGATTCTCTCCCTCTTACTGGTTCCTGGACTGGTTTCCTTGATTACACTTTGCCTAGCGGAGGTAGCGGAGGAAAGGAACAGCAGAGAAAAACACTAAAGTTTTGCATTAAATAGCCTAAATCCGATAATTTTCCTACCACCTAAAACCAAACTCACTGCCATCGAGTGGATTCCGATTCACAGCGACCCTGTAAGGGCAGAGTAGAACTGCCCCCAAAGGTCTTCAAGGCTGTAAATCTTTATACCTAAGCAGACTGTCACATCTTTCTCCCGCTGAGCAGCCTGTGGCTGATGGGTTCTAACCGTTCACCTTTCAGTTAGCAGTCCAGTGCTTAACCACTCACTATTCGACCACGGCTCCTTAATTTTCCCACTGGGACTCTTACAGCATCGTAACTAGCTGCTTATGTATCCTGAGTATTACTTAGGGCCCAGCCTGGGCAAGGGGGTTGTGAGTGTTTTCCCAGCCGGAAGAAGGCATTATCGGAGAAAACTGTTGCAGTATTAAGTGGGGACTGGGACTTTAGTGGAATGAGGTGTTAAGGAGAACTGTTCTGCCAAAACCCACCCACACCAAGACATGTCACTAATCAAAATCATTCTTGAAACATCTGGATCATAGTTTTGTTTAGAACTCTACCTTCTACCCCAAATTCTACCAACACCACCTTCTGCTGGCAGCTCAGAAAGAGTACATCACACAAGGCCTAGTAGATAGTCTTCAAATCTGGCAGGGTCTCCCTGAATGGATCAAATCATGGCTTTCCTGACAAGGGGGTACACACTGAGGTGCCCTCTCTCCCACTGCCACGAAGAAGAGGGCATCTCCTAGACTTCAGCATGGGTTAAACGCCACCTTAATGGGGAAGCAGAACTGCTAGGACCCTGGTTAAAGTGTACCTTACTATTTTATAAAGCATGTTTGCTTACAACACACTTCTCGTGTGAACCTCAAAACAACCTCTGTGAGGTGCATTAAGAAAAAAAAAAACCAAAACAAAACCCATTACCATCGAGTCAATTCTGACTCATAGCAACTCTATAGAACAGGGGAGAACTGCTCCATAGGGTTTCCAAGGCTGTCATCTTTATGGAAGCAGAATGCCACCTCTTTCTCCCAAGGTAGGTTTGAACTGCCCACCTTTCGCTTAGCAGCCAAGGGATTACCCACTGTACCACCAGCACTTCTTTGTGAGGTGTGTTAAATACTTACAATTCCTGTTATATCAGTAGGGAAACAGAGGATCAGTTAATAGATGGTAAAGGCAAGATCTCCTTCTTAGAAGTTCACACCGTAGTGTCCAATAAACTTGCCTATGAATCACTGAAGCCCTCATTTCTCAGAAATGATGATTCACTTCTAGCAAAAGCCTGAAAACAGAGAGGAAGAATCCAGAGCCTAAAATATGATAGCAGGAAGTGGAGTGCATAGGGAAAGCTGGTTGGCATTGTTGAATGTTGAATATGTGTTCCCTTCTTGGTTCAGGTTTAAATCCTATTGTTGTTGTTAGGTGCTGTTCTTAGAGTCATTTCCGATGCATAGTGATCTTACGTGCAACAGAACGAAACACTGCCTAGTCCTGCGCCATCTTCGCAGTCGTTGCTACTTTGAGCCCATTGTTGCAGCCACTGTGACAATCCATCTCCTTGAAGGTCTTTCTCTTTTTCACTGATCCTCTACTTTACCAAGTATGATGTCCTTCTCCAGGGACTGGTCCCTCCTGATAACATGCCCAAAGTACATGAGACGAAGTCTCGCCATCCTCACTTCTAAGGAGCATTCTGGCTGTACTTCTTCCAAGACAGATTTATTCATTCTTCTGGCAGTCCATGGTATATTCAATATTCTTTGCCAACATCATAATTCCAAGGCATCAATTCTTTGGTTTTCCTTATTCATTGTCCAGCTTTCACATGCGTATGAGGCGATTGAAAATACCACGGCTTGGGTCAGGTGTACCTTAGTCCTCAAAGTGACACCTTTGCTTTTTAACACTTTAAAGAGGTCTTTTGCAGCAGATTTGCCCAAGACAATACATAGCTTGATTTCTTGACTACTGCTTCCATGGGGGTTGATTGTAGATCCAAGTAAAATGAAATCCTTGACAACTTCAAACTTTTCTCCGTTTATCATGATGTTGCTTATTGGTCCAGTTGTGAGGATTTTTGTTTTCTTTATGTTGAGGTATAATCCATACTGAAGGCTGTAGACTTTGATCTTCATCAATAAGTGGTTCAAGTCCTCTTCACTTTCAGCAAGCAAGGTTGTGTCATATCGAAGACTGTTAATTAGTCTTCCTCCAATCCTTATGCCCCATTCTTCTTCATATAGTGCAGTTTCTTGTATTATTTGCTCAGCATACAGATTGAAAGACTGTGCTGAAAGGATTCAACCCTGACACACACCTTTCTTGACTTTAAACCATGCAGTATCCTCTTGTTCTAGTCAAACGACGGCCTCTTGTCTGTGTACAAGTTCCCCATGAGCACAATTAAGTGTTCTGGAATTCACATTCTTAGCAATGTTATACAAAGAAGTTTAATTCCTATTTGCTATTTTTTCTTTAAGCTCTAGAACTTTACTTTCTAAGACACGATTTTTTTTAAAGAGTAGTTATACCCCATGGGATAACACGCAGATAAGAGTGTCACACAATATCTTTATCTTTTTATTGTACTTTAGATGAAGGTTTACAGAACAAATAGTTTCTCATTAAACAGTTAGTACACATATTTTATGACATTGGTTAACAACCCTATGACATGTCAACACTATGCCTTCTTGATCTTGGGGTGCCTATTACCAGTTTTCCTGTCCCCTCCTGCTTTGTAGTCCTTGTCCCTGGACTGTTGTGCCCCATTAGCTTCATTTTGTTTTATGGGCTGTCTAATCTTTGGCTGAATGGTGAACTTTGGGAGTGACTTTATTACTGAGCTAAAAGGGTGTCTGGGGGCCATAGTCTCAGGGTTTCTCCAGTCTCTGTCAGGCCAGTAAGTCTGGCCTTTTTTTCTGAGTTAGAATTCTGTTCTACATTTTTCTCCAGCTCTGTCCTGGACCCTCTGTTGTGATCCCGGTCAGAGCAGTCAGTGGTGGTAGCTGGGCACCATCTAGTTGTACTAGACTCAGTCTGGTGAAGGCCATGGTAGTTGTGGTCCGTTAGTCCTTTGGACTAATCTTTCCCTTATATCTTGTTTTCTTCATTCTCCCTTGTTCCCGAAGGGGTGAGACCAGTGGAGTATCTTAGAAGGCTGCTCACAAGCTTTTAAGACCCCAGATGCTACCCTCCCAAGTAGAATGTAGAACATTTTCTTTATAAACTGTGTTATGCCAATTGAGCTAGATGTTCCTGGAGACTATGGTCCCCACAGCTCTCAGCCCAGCAATTCGGTCCCTCAGGGAGTTTGGATGTGTCTATGGAGTTTCCATGACCTTTCCTTGTACAAGTTGTCTGGCTTCCCTAGTATTGTGTACTGTCTTATCCTTCACCAAATTTACCACTTATCTATTTAGTGTTTCCCTACCCCGCCCTCCCCCTCCCTCATAACCATCAAAGATTGTTTCTTTTGTGTGTAAACATTTTTGTGAGTTTTTACAGTAGTGGTCTCATACAATATTTGTCCTTTTGTGATTGACATATTTCACTCAGCATAATGCCCTCCAGTTGCATCCATGTTATGAGATGCTTCATGGAGTCATCATTGTTCTTTATCGTTGTGTAATACTCCATTATGTGTATGTACCATAGTTTGTTTATCCATTTATCTGTTGATGGGCATCTAGGTTGTTTCCATCTTTTTGCTATTGTGAACAATGCTGCAATGAACATGGGCGTGCATATGTCTATTCATGTGACAGCTCTTATTTCTCTAGGATATAGTCCTAGGAGTGGGATTG